CAGGGAACTGTCTGGAGTAACTTACAGGGAACTGTCTGGAGTAACTTACAGGGAACTGTCTGGAGTAACTTACAGGGAACTGTCTGGAGTAACTTACACCAAAGCGCTGCTGGGGTGCCCAGCCAGACACACCAGCACCCAGCTGCCCCGAGAGCAAGGCTGGAAAACTCCAACCAAGGTACCGAGTGAACTTTAAAAACTGACGTGTTTTCCTTAGCAAGATGGCATGACTGGCTCCTCAGAAAAACTCCACATGGAATTAAAATTGGATTCTGCGGGTGTCTGTGATCAGGAAGACAGCAAATGCACGGCCAGCATTACTTACATCATCCAACAGTTTGTCGCCGTTGGGGTCCACCTTGGACAGATCTCTGAATGCCTCATCTCCCACGAAACAGATTTCATGCCCATCCTAAACCAAATTCAAGAACAGGTAAGTTAGATACCTGGGAGAGGAGAAAATGAGATCTAATTGAATCACCATTGCCAATATTACTCACAGGATCAGCCAAAATAATCACTTGCACTGTGGCCTTGCCAGGTGTGTCCAAGCTAACCAGAGGCGTTAAGATTTTCTGATTCTCCTTTTTCATCAGGGCTTCAATGTGTGGCAACTTAAACAGAAAACAAATAAAAATCAACCCTAGTCAGACAAAGGTCAGATGTGTTCAAGCTATTCCCATTTACAGCTCCCCATTACCCAAAACTCCACTGCATTCCCACTGCAAGAAATATAAAGTGTCTGCTCAGTACTTTTTTGTTCACATTTGAGATATTTTGTCAATACTAGAAACGAACCGAACCCCTCCCCAGCTAGCCCTGGGCAATGAAAGGGGTGAGGGAAATGTGGGTGTTACCTCTTCCTTTGCACAGGAGAAGGCAATCCGCCCAAACGCTGTCCCGTGATCCACAGCTCCTCCAACCGTCTTCAACTCCAACTTGCACTGAGAGAGGAAAAAAGCAAGCCTGACTTGCAAGGACACTGTTCTCACTGTCACATTCACTCCGGCTTTTACTAATGTGGGTGATTTAAAAGTCACCCCTACATGGATTTCCCAACAAGCCAGAATTATCAGAGCAAACCACAGCTTTAAACAAAAAAAAAAAAAAAAAAACAAATCAAGCGTACACAAGCTTTAATTTAAGTACACAGAACTAAGCGCACAGTTGCTTTAATGAAGAGCTTTTTTCTACTTTAAGATTTTGCTCTCACGAAACGAGAGGTTTCTATGATGAGATGCAACTCTTCAAGATCAGAACTGGAAAGTTTTCTAAGGACTAACCTGATTATCCGCATAGCCCAGCAAAACCCTTTGTTTTTCCTCATCCTTCTCATATATTTTCATCCCCAGCAAATCGGACCAGTAGTTAACAGACTTCTGCAGATTGGAGACACCCAAGGTTACCTTTAGCACAGGATCTGTAGAATCGCAATAATTTAAAGTTACAAATACACTGTAGTTTTAAACTCAGTTGTACATTCTTGAGAAGGAAAGTAACAAAGCCATAGCAGAAACATGTTCTCTCTTATAAAAGGCCACTGAGACAGACAATTCCCATTCCAATATCCCACATTTTGAACACCAGTAAGAGCAAACATGGACACTTCACCTTGCCTGAGCTCTTCCTTGTCTTCCAAGTAGAACTTGTATCCCCCCGGGGCTTCAACTTCAAAAATGCCAGCTGTGACTTCCTTGAGGGGCCACCCCATCTTCTTTGCATTGGTCACAGCCTGGCTGGACACCAGTGTCAGGCCCTGGTGAGAACAGAACAGACACACACAATTCACAGGGTGGAATTACAGGTGTGTAAGTCCTGCCTTCCAGCAGTCTGCTCCCGCAATGGCCAGAAACAAACGGGGTTGCTTGTTGTAACAGATTGGCCATATGATCTCCTGACAACCAGGTATCTTGCTCAGTCTTACCGTGCATCCCACATGCATTTGGAATGCACTAACCCACCCTTCTTTCACACCAAAGGGAAAGGAAAAGCAAAAGGCATTTACAATTGTGACTCAGTGGACTGTACAGAAAAGGAAAACCGAGTTCCCAACTGTTCTCCCAGGTGAATCCACAGAGCTGTTCCCTGACACCCCCAAACTGAGGGAAGAACATTAGCTCAGGGGAAACAACAAGAAAACAGTCAGATGTACTCAGAGATGAAACCTGAGATCTTCACTGGTTGTCAGCTAGGAAATAACAAAGAAATAAGTAATAACGAATACAGGAGTGTTTTCCTACAGCAAGATCCCTCCTCGGTAAGCATTCCATGTTGGATCTGGCAGCAAGCACCAGCCATCACACACACACAGCAGCAAAGAGATAGAGCTCCAGGATGCGTTTCCTGGATCCTAAGTGAGCAAAAAGCTGCTCTAATTTCTGCTCTCTCAACTTGGAGACAGCTACAAAAGCAAGAATAAGAAGTGCTTCAGGAACCAAACAGCACAAAAAAGCAACCGGTACAACCTATGTGCCTTTTTAATCATCAAAGTAACACAGCCTGCCACAGAAGTCTGTGGCTATGTGTGGTACTTACCAGAAAGTCATTGCCCAGGCGATATTCTCCAACACCATAATTGTAAGTCAATTCTGCAACAAAGTGGTTGTCTTCTGGCCCATAGCCCACCATTGTTTTGCTCCATTTTCCATCATAAGGGCTGGAACATCCATATTTGTCATGAATATTAGAAGTAAACATTAAAAACTTCAAGTATTAGTGTTTCAAGGACAAATTGCATTTCTAGAGGAAACAAATGGCACAGGTAATCCAGTAACCTCCCACCAAGTAGCAGTTGATACCAGTGAGGAATTTTCATTGCAACTCTGCAGACGGGCACCCCCCAGCCAGTAGCTTTGACTGTGGTTTGTCATCCATGACCAAAAGACTTCTACCCCCTTAACAGCTCACACCTGACAAGCATAAACTGCTCATTAGCTGGGATTAGGTGAGCACTTCCTTATTGCAAAATAGGAAAAGCCCATGCTTGGGCACCGGATTGTAAGATTTCTTTCACTCATGAAGATGAGAGTCTTTGGAGCTACCAGGAGGGATTTTTAACACAAGACCCCAGATAGCCCCACGTCTGCAAAAGCGATGTAACAGAATGCAATTCCAGGGAAGCTTATAGAACATTTTATAAAGTTTAGTATAAGCCTGTGGGTGTAACACAGCAATACCTGTGTTTCAGTGTAAGCGTCATACGTGCACAAAGAGGAAAACTGCTGATTCCAAGGGAAGGAGTTAAATACAAACCCAAACTACCCGGTTTAGCTCCGGCAGACGCTGGCGGGTGTGTTACGAGACGCAACAGCCCGGGGAGCGCGGACGCGGCACTCACCCGTTGCAGGTGGCCTTGCAGCCCTCCTCGAACTCCTCGTGCCTCAGCACCTGGCGAACGGGATGGGAAAGGGGGGTCAGCACCGGGG